CTCTTAATTGTTTATCTCTGAACTTTAGTAAGTGCTCCTTATTCTTATTTCACCAGAAAGCTTCTTCCTGTTCAATCCAAGTATAATATTGGCAGTTATGATCTTAGATCTGTCGTTGAGGTTAAAGAATTAGGAGTATACTTTGACTGAAAACTAACTTTCTCAACTCATATTAATTACGTTAATTCCAAAGCTTATGCTATGCTCGCTTTTGTTCAGCGTAATAGTAGGTCGTTTAGGGATCCCTATACCTTGAAGCTTCTGTATGTTACTTTGGTCAGATCTAGGTTAGAATATGCGTCCTTCATTTGGCGACCCTATCAGTCCGCCTATACAAACCGGATTGAAAGGATGCAAAAAGTTGTTTTTTTTTCAAATTTGCCTTGCGTTCATCGGAGCCTGCACCCCCGTATGCATCTCGTTGTCAACTAACTCCTTGGCAGAAATTCGTTAAATAGTAGGCGTTCATTCCTCGCTGCCTCTTTTGTGACTAAAATAGTGGAAGGCACTATCGATTGCTCTACGCTTTTGGAGAAGTTATCTTTAAATGTTCCGTCTCATAACTTGCGGCGTGTTTCATTATTTTATTTGGGATTTCCGAAATCCAACTATGTGAAATTCTCGCCTCTTTTTAGAGCCCTCTCTGAATTAAATGAGCCTTCGGAATATGATCTATCTCTCTCATTTGGAACAGTACGTTGTGTCCTGCCAAATTACTATAGGTAGTATTTATGCTCCTTTGCTTTAGTCAGTGAGGATTTGTATTCCATTTGATTGAATAAATAAATAAATAAATATTTTTTTTTTTTAATTTCTTAATAAGCATCTGCGTGCCTTTTGCTCCACTAAATTTTAATGGGCTATAAAGCAAAAAATATTGGTCAAACTTTGCAGAATTTTCATAATTTTCAAGAATATTAAACATTAAATAAACTACAGAAAAATAGCCGAAACTTGCTAAAATGTCGCGTCGCAGTTTTTATTTGGTTCACTGTATAGTCGGCAAACAATTTTATGGGACAAAATACATTTTGAAAAATTTTATTAGTGTGGTTTTTGATTTAGGGTGCGATACGTATGTACATACATTTCTTCTAAAAACGTATTATAAATAAGACATGAAGTGATGTTTCTTTCCTATCCAATTCTTCAATGACAATTATGAGCTTTAGACAGATTAAATCAGAGACCATAACGATTATAAGAAATAAAATTAAATATTGTTCTATAATTATTACTGAACACTGGAAAGAAAAAGTTGTTTTCGTCGCGCGGGACGATTATTTTAAAATGTAAATTATTTTCGTCATCTCATAAAAATTATATGGGAATTTTTTTTCGTCTCGGGATGTTTATTTCAAGACGAAAATGATTTACGTCTTCTCATAATAATTATATGGGATTTTTATTTTTTTCGTCTCTCGGGACCTTTATTTCAAGACGGCAATTACACATAAATATTATGAGAAGACGAAAATAATATTCGTCTTAAAATAAACGTCCCGAGACGAGAAAAAAAAAAATCCCATAAAATTATTATGAAAAGATAATCAGCCTCATTGCGAGTCGTGCCGAATGCAAGTCGTTTTTCGAGAGTCGAATCGTATCGAAAATTTAGCGTCATTGCCTAAAATTTCCACTCGACTAGTGTATTAAAATGGAAGAACTTGGCAGCACTGCATAGTTTTCGACAATTTTCGTCGTTTACTTATTTCAGCACGAAAGTAGACAATGCTAATGTTGTCGAGTCGCACAATTCAGCCTAATTTACGACTTACGCAATGAGGCTGATTATTTTCCATCTGAAAATAATCATCCCAAGACACGAAAAAAGATATTTCTCGTAAATAATTATTATACAAAGACGAAAAAAATTTATCTTAAAACAAGGCGACGTTTTTGGTCTCAAATATTAGGATAATAATTATTTCAGTCTCTGGATTAAATGAAATAATTGCATATTATTTGCAAGTCGCCCTTTTTTTAATAAATGTGGAAATATCACTTCATGCCCGATTTAATTTTTATGCATTGCATTGTTTGCATATAAAAATATACAGCTCCTGTTCTTCGAATTATGACCGACACACTCTTCTGAATAAATATTTTTCAAGAATTCCCTTTAAAATAAAAAAGCTTTGGGGATGGATAAAGTGAGTTAAAAATTTCAGATCCTTTCTTAGAACGTATTCGAAATAGATTTTGTCATTGCTTTCAATTCAAATCAAATATTTATATTTTATATTATTTTGCGATCCATAAAAATTTCGAGCTAAACGTTCAATAAATTGAGCTATAATTTGCAATTTAAAACCTTGGTTATTTTTAGTGTCATTCGTATTATGACGGAAAATTAGTTTTCTATTTGAGGTTAGCTAAAATAATCGATATGAGATTGAACATCTAATGGAAATACTGAAAAAATTGTCTTCCAAAATATTGAATATTCTTCCAAGTTCTATAAGAATTATGTTCGAAATACGATGATCGCATTTACGATATCAGTGTACATGAAGGAACTACTTTTTACCTCGCTTTTATTAGCTTGGGATGATGTAACTACATATGTAATATTGATGCGCCTAAAAGATGCAGCGATTTCCATTCTCAAGTTACATACCTGATGACAGTACGAATGGAAATTATAAAAGCGAGTTTTTAGTTTTTAAACTATACTTTTTTTACCTATTCACTAAATAGAAAGATCCATTACAGTGAAAGGTGAGCGCTACCGAACAATGACAATGGACTTTTGTTTGTATGAAATCGTTAAAGATAATTATTATGCTTACCATTTAGCAGCGACTGAGGAATGAAAATAGATCGCTCGATACAGGGGGAAATTCTTTTTTTTCTGTAGCGACGTTTAAAATAAATAAAGGTTGTTCAGGGAGGCAACGAAATTGGGTGATCGCATAGGCCGCTAAGGGCAACCAAATAATAAAACTGCAAAACATTCCTAGTCCGACTCGCCGGCTCTCTTTATACCAGGCGATTTTTGTCGAACACGAAGTGGTTAGATTAGTATGATACTGGGCGCGAAATAACAATTTTAACAATTGAAAACCTGAAATTGATTTTTTTTTTAATTAATCAATGACTTTAAATTCGTAAATTTATCAAAATATGAGCAAAGGTCGCACTTGATTTATACTATCAAAATGGCGATGTAGAATGTGAGCAAACTCAAAGTCGCATTAAGAAAAAGTTAAGTGGCTAAAAAGTTGACTGGTGACCAGTTTTGGTGAAAGCGATCAGGTGAATGACAATTTACACAAGTGAATTAACTTAAAAGGCGATAATAATAATCACAATGTAATTCCTTAAAAAAAAAATTGTTTTAAGTTAAAAACATTTTCCATTCGGCCATAAATCAGTGAACAGGTGCTATATATTTGGTTTAAAGATGCCCTGTAATAAAATACTTCGATGATAGCTAGTAGTATAGGTGGAAAATGCGCGTCGGGTAATAAAAAATAAATAAATTAAAAAACTTTGACGTACAAATAATTAAATAAAGCAAAATCAAATTAAAAATTAAATATGTCCGCTGAAATGGGCAATAAAAGATAGTAGATATATAAATGTAATACAAACAAAAAAGCAATAAATCGCAGTAAATTTCATGATTATTCATCCCACACATTTCCCAAAACCCACATTCCCACCTACAGACTTTTTATCATCATTCAACCACTGTCCTCCGTGTGTCGTATCGTATTTCGAAACGAATGTGCAATAGTGCACACTGACTTCGTTTTAGGAGAAAATTCTTTCTTGTAAACCCACTCGCGCTTAGCTAATAATAAATAAATGGGATAGAAAGTGGCAATGCTTAAATAGTAAATGTAAATTGGGTTATAGAGGATTCCCCCATTTATATTTTTGCATTAAGAGTTGTCTTAAAATGATGTAGGTTGTTTTTTGTATTGGTTCGAAATTGAAATTGTAGTAAAACTTGTTGAAATTGTTTTTGTCAAAAACGCTTACCTCTCAGTTTTCTTATCGCCAGAAGCGGTATCCTTCTTTTTGTTATTGTTGGCGTTTTTAGCCAAAAGTTTCTTAGCACGATCGAAAGCATTCTGCTTGCGAATTCCGCCAGCGCCTTGTTTTGGAGCTGATTTAGGACCAGCGGCGCCACGGTTTTGAAAACCTCCTTGAACACGGCGATTATTAATGCGATTGCCAGGAGGACCACGATTGACCATCTTTATTTTACAATGTTATGCAATTTTTGTAAATTTTATAATGGATAAATTGAATATGAAATAAATGTGCACACATTTTTAATATAAAACATGCATGAATCATTTTTGTTTCCCATATTTGGATAGAAACAATTTTATGTGAAAAATTTGGTTCATATTTTCAGTTGCATATAAATGTAGCGTGAGATGGAAACGCACACAATTTGCAAACATTTTCATAATACATTTCACAGTAGTTTCATATTGCGAACACAAGTTCATTGTACGGTATTTTCGAAGCACAGATCATTTATCATTTCATGTGATCAGTAGCAGCAAAGTGCATATTCACACATTTTGTTTGTAGATATTTTTCGTTCAAGAGTTGTTTATATATATATATTTTTTTTTAATTTTTTGTTTGTTACAATATTGCATGTAAATATTTAAAATAAATGGTAACAACATTTGAATATTCATAGAACACAAGTAACATCAGAACATTTTTTTTTGTTTGTTTAATGAATTTTTTCATAATTGTTATAAATATGTATTTATAAGATGTGTCAGTTCGTTGGCAAAGTTGGCAATCAACATTAAATGAGCATTTGAAGTGGACGATTGGTTGTATGGCGGGCAGCAGCAATGGCGTCAACACACATGTGCACAAAGCAGCCGAAAAGGCGTTAATGCGTTAGTGTGTATGACGATACAACATATATTTTTATAATGTGTATTTAATGGATATAATGCAAGCGGTCAAATATAGTCGTTGAAAAGTTTTCATTTCATATATGAAAAATTTTTAAGAAATACCCATATCGTTTTGTTTGTTTTGTAAGAAATACACATGCGAGCAGAGCAGCAAGTTGGTTGGAAAACGCGGTTCAATTCATAGTTCGTTATTGATGCATAGTTCATTTGCAGATTAATGTTTTGTTATTTTTTTTCAATTGTTAAGAATTTTTAAAATGGTTTTGTTTTTGAAATAAATCATTCGGGTTTTGTTTTTGTTTGGTTTGTTTTAAATCACCAGCATATTTGGATTGCAATAAAGAATCGTTGAAGAAGCACCAGACCAGTGTAAGTCGCAGTTGTAAGCAGTAGAGTAGGCAGATAATCATCGATCGATCGACAGTTGTGATGGGCACCATCATGTTGAAGAGACATCGGTTGCAACATTTACATTCGATCAGTATTTATGCATGATTGGCGGCAGTTATGCGGCATGAATTTGAATTGCGTAAATGCATGAGTGTATGGTTGTTTGGTCGCAGCATTTGCGTTCATGTGCAATGCAAGGTTTTCGATTAGATTATTGTTTTTTTTTTTTTAGGGAAGGAATTAAATGTGTTTTTTCAGGGGATTCGAAAACCAATTGGACACATGCGCGATAACGCATTTAAAACGCAAGCAATGCCAAAACATCAATAACAACAGCATACGCATTATCAAAACGTCAACAATAACCGCATTTGATTTTGAAGTTGCAACATTTTTGGATCACAATCGATTCGCAGCAGATGGAACATTTGAACAAATTAAGAGGTTCAGTTCAGTGCGATTTAGGGTTTTGTTTTTGTATATATACGGAGAAGAGAATAAAAGAAAGTAAACAATTGCTAATTAGAAACTTGGAATTTTCCAGCGCATATAGTACAACAAAGTGTTTTGTTTGTTAACTCTTAAAATTATAAAATATACATTTTATGAAATAATTGTTCGATTAGAAATACGCTGTTTGACAGTAGCTTATAGTTACAAAAATTGGAGAAACTAAAACTGCTAAAGTATTTGGCTTTGCATTTCGCATTGTATTACGTACAATTTTTGTATTCGAGCTAAGTGTGATTTCTTTACTTTAGACATATGTATGCGTTACATTGAAATAACATAAGAAATAATTAGTGGTACTGTTTGAAAAAAATTGTGCACTTTATTATAAAGTAATTTGGTCTCCTCTCTCATAATATAAAAATTTAGCATTATAAATGGACAAATGCCTTTTACTTGAAAGCCTCCAATGCACAATCCTTTTACAATAGTTCAATTTTAGTTTCGCATTTTGAAAAGGAAGAAAATATATATACATACTCACAAGGTTACATATTATCATTTAGAATAAAGGTTACTTTTTGTTTCACGTTTTTTTTTTGTTTGTTTTACAAGTTGCATAATTAAATTTCATAATGAAAGATGTTGTATATATTTCAAGCATAAAAAATTATCAATTCATACCGTATGCGTGATTAAAGTTGGTAGCGTGGATTTTAATAAACGTCTTTCAGTTTTACCTTTAATACTGGAACCCAAAAATATATATACATATGTACAAGAAAGCGTTCATGTTTGGTATTAAGAAAATTCTATGAATTTACTATTCGAATCATTTATCAATCGCTAACTTCGCATAACTAGCTTGTTTTAACTTAAACAGTCTAAAAGATGTGGCAACAAATTGCTTCAACAATTGTTTTAGAAAAAAGTAATATAAATTCTTTAAACAGAATAGGAGGAACAATCTGGCGTATTGCGAACTCAAGTTTGCTTCCAACATACCCTCAAAAAAAGTTTGAGTATTTCCAGCAAGTTTGTTACAATGTTCATATTAGCGGAATGAATTAATCAAGAATATGGTCCAAAGCCTTACTGGCTTACTTCACATTGTGGAAACATCACACCAAGCATCATTTCGTATAATTCCCAAATTTTATGGGTTTTTGGTGATAAAATGCTTGTAGGGAAAAAGGGACAGATAACGAAATATGTAAATTTTAAGTGAAGGGAACTTTTACTGATTTAAAAAGTATTCCAACCATAGGAAGTTCAAATTAGTTTTGAGATCTCTTTTTTTCCTTCGTGTGACTATTTTAAAATATATTCTTCTCTCTCGATGCATTCATAATGGGTAAATTGAAACAACCTCCTAACGTTTTCGTTACTTTCTCGATAATCGAACGGATCGTAAATATTGCCGTTTTCATTGATTTCTTGATAGCGAGACGGATCGAAATAACTTCCGACTGAGATGCGGTTTCACTATCAAAAATACTTTGCAAAAACTTTTGAAAACGTAGGACGAGACCGAGAACTGCTGCCACAAACTGAAGGACAGGTAGTAGTAGTACGATAATTTTTCGGAACCAGTTCTCGATAGTTGTGTACGCGAAAGTGTTAGCAAAATTTCTAAAACAGATATATTCTCGTGCCGTTGGTCGGGTGGGTTGTGATAATTTCCATGAGGATTTAATTTTTTTTACCGTACAGCAACGCTTATGTATGTTTGTACATTGTAGATTTGTAGGTTTGTGCATTTTTAGCTGAATTGGGCATAAAAAACCGACTTTTAACATATCGTCGTTTAAGGTGCAAAACCGCGCATCAACAAAATGCAAAACCGCGTATCAGCGAAATGCAAAACCGCGTATGTGAAGTTGTAGAAATTATCTTCTAGAGTGTAAAAACACTCATATTTCAAAATGGATCTCTTTTTTATAAAGCAATCGCTTTTCTGGCTAGTATATTTCAGGACGAATGCATAAGGATTGAGCCAAGAGCTTGTGTGAGCAAATCCAATTTTTGGCAGCCAATGTCAGTTACGCGGTTTTGCAGAATGACGATACGGGGTTTTGTACTTTAAACGACATATGTATATCGACAGTTTTATACCAGTCCAAGGGATATTGTGAAAAATTTAAGCGGCGAAAATTTGTATTGACCCGAAATGGTTCGCTTTATCATGAATATGGAACGATTTCGGGTGAAGGACATTTCACATAGAAATATCGAAGTTGGGATAAAAACTGTCAATGCTATAAAATTTCAGTAAACACTTTAGAACGTACATTAGAGTATTTTTTGTAATTTGTGAAATTTTATCAATTGTTTTGCGGTATCATCTGTGCGAGTGAGTTATTTCACCGGGGAATACGGCATACGATAGGGTGAAAAAGATTCAAGTGAACTACTTAGCTTGGCGAATATTGAACATAAATAGGTGAACTGCATGGCCGAAATGTGAATCAGTTGTGTTTTCACCTATGTACATACATATATGAATAGAAATGCAAAGAAATTGGAGTGGAACACAACTTTCATACAGAGCAAAACAAAGCTTGAAATGTGATCCGGCATTATTCGTTTTGAACTGGCAAAACAACTAATTGAATGCATAAATTATGCATATGCGAAGATATTCTTAAATTTCTCGAATCATATACTTAGTCAAGGACCGCCACTCCGGTAGCACTTGCACAACTATTTGACGAATTTTTAAGCAGTCAGAATAACAACAATGCTTGGGTTCAATTCTGACTTTACCAACGAACCTATTGAAATTTCCAAAAGTATCAGCTTTTATCACGCATACGACATAAATTTACAAGCAATACTGCTTTTACTGTTAACCAGTTGCAGACTGCATCGACGTAAACAAAAAAACTAAAAATTGTAAAAGGATAACTTGAAACTTAAATTGTAATATAAATACATAAAAAATCATATACATACCGGTCCGCCGCGTTGATTGCGATTGCCCATACCGCCTCCACCGCCGCGTGGCAGATCCAACAAGGAAGGTGGATTTTGGTTTCTGAACAAATTGTTTAAGAGATTATTAGCCAAATTAATGGCCTGAGCGTTCATGCCTTGGCCACCGCCGCCTTGGCGCATATTGCCACCACCAAAATTACCTCCGGCATTTGGTGTATCCCAAGGCGACATGTTCATGTTTCCCATGCGGTTTGCACCCATTGGGCCCCCACCATAGTTGTTACCGCCGAAGTTTCGGTTGCGGTTTTGGTTGCCACGGAATGCCATTTTCTTATTATTGCTATAATTTACTTGCTTAACACTATTTAAAAGATAGTAAAAAAAATCAAGTTAGTTAAAGAGATCATTTAGTACAAACGTATTTATATTGTTAAATAGGCGTTATACATAAACTAAAATGTGGAACACTGCGTGTGCTGCATAAACAACTACTTCATACCTTGGAGACATTTGGGTTTACAAAATTTTGAATTTAGAAGGCCAAAAGTTGACAGACTAATCAATAAAGCACACACACACAAAATCAACTAATATAGGCGGAAAAGCGAGTATGTACTTTATTATTTTAAGATTCAGGGGACTATCTTAATTCAATCTTTGCAAATTATCTGAAAAACAAAGAGAATAGCAGACATATACCATAAAATACGTGCAGTAAAAGTTGAATAATTGTTTAAGGTATAATTTAAAAATGTAGTCAGAATGTGTTAGTAGAAAGCGACTAAAATGCAAGATTGTAATTAATTTGACAAATTTACAACACGTGAACTTATACAAAATTTCCAGATTTTTGGGTGTGTACATCAAGTTTCTGCGCAAACAAGTCCACAGCAGAACGGCAAAATGTTATACCAACAAAAGCGCGCGAACGAAGAAAAACTCGTTCGCCCGTTGAATGTTGCTGATGATCGAATATTCGTTCGGCGTTGGAAGAAAACAAAGGCAACAGGAAAAAAAAAAAAAAACTTTTAAATAAAAAAGTGTGAATAACCTCATTTTCAATTCATCACGTTTTAAATAGTTGACATACATACAAAGTGGGGATTGTTTTAGAAAATGTATTTAAATACAAAGACCGGCCGGTGTGCAAAAGGAAGTTCCGCGAATGCAGGTTTTTTCTAGNAATAACCTCATTTTCAATTCATCACGTTTTAAATAGTTGACATACATACAAAGTGGGGATAGTTTTAGAAAATGTATTTAAATACAAAGACCGGCCGGTGTGCAAAAGGAAGTTCCGCGAATGCAGGTTTTTTCTAGAAACTTACAAATATACATCACCAAACGCACCGGCTGACTCACGCCAATCACAGATTTGATAGAATTTAAGCACGAACTCGTTAAACAAGTAAAAATGTATACACACACAATTCGAAACGACTGAAAATCGAGGGACGAGCAAGACAAAATGCGAATGGCAAAACAAGATGGCGCCTCATATTTCACTTTTCTGACAATTTTCTTCTAGGGCTGGTTTCTCCAACTCAATTTAACTTAGTTTAGCAAATTTTTGCACTTACGTCAAGAATAAGCTGATTAAAACGTATGCTAATTTTTGGCTTAGCCTAGATGGTGAAAATGAACCAAGTCCAAAACATGGCTAAACTAGAGTTTCTACAGAAAAGTATGCATATAGTATAAAAATCCTCGTTTAAACTCGCCACTCGACGAAGTTGAAATTTTAAGATAATGCAGACTGTACATACTTTTATCGCCATGTGCAGGCCACAATTTTTTCCCGCATGTAAAATTTATAATTTCTTTATGTAACAATTCTAGACAACGCCGATAAAGTTAGTACATATATTCCAACTTATGTATCGAGGAAAAATCAATAATTACACAAGAACATATATGCACACATATAGAAATGTGTATCTATACCAAGAACCCAAGCCAGGTAATAAATTAAATAAAATTATTAAAAATCATGCTAAATTTGATGAATTTACTTACCTTCTGTCGGAGAATCTATTTTCACAGTAATATTTTATGATACAATTGTAATTTTTACACTTTTCTCAAGTGAAAAAAATTAAAGATGGCGACGGTGTGATTTTTCTATATGAACAATACCGCGCTCACAATCTACACGTACTACACCAGCAACGAACGAAGAACGAATGAACGAACGACGGCAGATGGAAAAGATGAAAGATGACCGAAAAGAAACGAGCGAGTAAACTACTGGAGTTGCCAGACTAATCGATTTAATTAGTAATCAAAACCGATAGGCCATCTTCATGAACCAACGACTACAGATCACCTAATCAGCCATCGTTGTATTTGTAATCGATTTTCAGAAAAAAGTTTTCGTAGCGTTTTTGACGTTTTTCGGTTTTGTTTACACCGTCTTCTACCTCTTCGTAGCGATTGAATGTGTTTTCTGCAGCGATTTTAATTATAAATTTTGGTTTATTACATATTTATGATATAAAATAAAGTGCTGTGTGATCGGAACAAGTTTGTGCGTATGTTTGGTTTGCCAAAAGGCGTAAATTTGCGTGAAAAGTGGGTGCACGTTTGTGGCCAGAACGTTGGCATTGAAAAATCGACCCGTGGTAATGATATGCGATTGTAAAACACTTTCAATCATGAAAACCATATTTTATGAACTTTTTTTGCTAATTGTCATCAAGTTTCACTTTGTATATTTTATAATAAATACCAATTTAATCGCACTCAATCACCGCGCCTTTTTCGTTTTCTTTGTTTGTTTTCATTCTTAGGCAGATGTCAAAAACACTCAGAAATATACTTTTTTCTTGCTTCTTTGATTAGGTGATCTTGTATTTTTGGTTCATGGGCCATCTTCCCGTGTTGGGAAATCTCCCTTAGGGCACTGTCACACGGTCAGTATTTATTGACGTGATCCAAGTATCACGATTTTTATTGGCGGTGTAGCATGCAGTATTGACGGGCCGTGATCCATATCGCAAATATCCAAAAATTTTTAAATCTGGATCGCGGATATTGTCAATAAAGTACAATGTCAGTACATCTTGTACTCTCATAATACGAACATCGAAAACGTGTTCGCTATGACTTCGTTCTCGTTGCTTAAAACCTTTCAAAACAAATTGAAAAAGAATTTAATTAACATTGGAAATATTCAAATAATTGTGAAATGCTTTAACTGTGAATTATTCGCACAAAATAAATATATTTTATAGCTTTATAATAAGCGTTCAGCACAAAACTTATGCAAATACTGACGCGATAAATATTGAACATGTAGAATTCGTGCGCGATCCATCAATAATCCGATCCGATAATTACTGACCATGTGACAGGGCCCTTACTGCCCGTCTCCACAGGATAATGTTTATATGTATCTTGATACATATGTTAGAATATAAATATCCAATAGATATTTGCTCTTCAAGAGCTATATGTATCAGAGCTTAAATCTTGCCATCTATTGCCGGCAATTTGGTAGTTTGACAGCTACATTTTCAATTACATAAAATTTTCGTGGTGGCAACATTATTGATATCTTAATATAAATGCAAAAGTTGAGTATGTACTTAGATGTAAAAAAGCCTATTTTCTAAATTTTTTAAGCGATTAATAGTTGATCTCCACCAAGCCTTAACTGCAGTTTATGCCGTTTGAAAAACGGTGATTACAACTCGAAGGGGGTAATTCCACCTATTAAGTGGAAGCAAACGAAAGGAAAAAAGCAAAACTAAACCTACCTTTCCGATAACCCCATGTTATAACTATTTGAACTTTTCTGAGCTCTTAACAGCAGTTAAGCCTTCTAGAAGTCATCTTACAATTGCTCACAAAATGCCCACACAAATATGGCCACTGATATAACTTATATCTTGCAACCAAAATGACAACTGGACATCAATTAGAATTATCCTGTTGTTGTTGTTGTAGCAGCAATACTGAACCCCCCGCGGTTTAGTCGTGGGTTGTCTTCGTGCTCTGACTCGACAAGCCTGAGGCCGTGAAAGCGGGCGGCGTCGATAGGCGCTGCCCATAGTGCTTCTGATGTCAGGGTCGTGGGGTTAGAGGCGCGTGGTTTACCGTGTCGAAGGCCTTCGACCGGTCCACCGCGACTAGGACCGTCTATCACAGGGTCAACGTTGGTTCAGACCCTCGCTTATCTGTGTGGTATTGGCGTTTAGTGCAGTGGCTGTGCTGTGCATTTTGCGGAATCCGTGTTGGTGTTGGGCTAGTTGCAGATGCTTCGTTGGAGAGGGATAGGAGGGAGATTGGTCGGTAAGAGTCTCCTGCGTCCGCCTTCTTACCTGGTTTAAGGAGGGGAATGATCCACATCTCAGGGTGGACAGTGACAAGGTGAACGCTGCTGTGGTATACTCGACTCCCGCAGGTCCTAACTTTTTCAGCATCTGCATCGAGATTCCGTCAGGGCCTAACGCCTTGGATGTTTTGGCGTTCTTTACAGCTGCCTGCGTCTCCTCCGATGTAAAGCACGCTAGTGTGTCTCGGGGGCGGAGTTTGTGTGCAATAAACTGCCGGCTGAAAAAGTGCGCGCTCGTCCTTGGGTCCGACGTGGTGGTATCGCCAAATGTAGGGGCAACGTTGTCCTTACGTTTTGTCGGATGGGAGAGAGATTTTACTGTCGTCGACAGTTTTCTAGCTAGGAGAGATTGCAGGTCATGGGGTGCTCGTTCCACGTTTTCCGCTTGTGTTCGTTAACCAGTTTGCTAATGTCCTTGTTGAGATGCCTGATACAGGGATCACCAGGAATAGACTAGCGGATTCGATCACGCTCGTCTGCGAGTCCCGCCGCTTCAGCTGGAAAGCGTGGGCGGATTTTGGCGATTCTTGGGTGGTCTATCGCGAGTACTATGGGCAGGTGGTCTGACAGAATACGTTTTCTTTTATAAAATGCCGCAAACCATTAAGGTTACGGCGTACTTACCTTAGACAATGCTGTCAAGATAATAAAGGATACGTATTGGTTGTAAAAAAAAAAAATAGTTATAACAATTCAGTATTTTTTGCATAAAATCTGTGGGAATTATTAAAAAGTTGATAATTGCAATAAAATTCAATAAATGTGAAAGTTTTTTATATAAAATATGGCGAAATTGTAAAAAGTCTCTGCGTGCGTGCACAAAACATATTTCAGGAAAAGAAAATAAGAGATATTAAGGAAAAATTATGTCTAGAATTGTTGCAGCACAGTCCATATATTTTAAATTTGCGGGTTTTTGTAAATATTTCGCGAAAATATCTACCAGAAAAACAGAAAACACCTGCTCCAAGTGAATTTTTAGATGTCAAATGAATTGAAACATCACAACCGAGTGTGCGAACGCGTAGTCGTCATGTAATCGTTGCGTCATGGTTGTGACGATGAAGTAACTATGATTGGACGACCAATGTGCGGAAAGGTGTCACGCATTTGCCGGCGAACGCATGTTGTGTACCTTCACTTTTAGTTCAATACAAAAGAAAGTGTAGCCTAAATACAAGAGATATTCTATAGGGTCCTGTCACATGGTCAGTATTTATTGACGTAATGCAATTATCGCGATTTTTAATGACGGTGTAGCATGCAGTATTGATGGATCGTGATCCATATCGCAAAATTTCTAAAAAATTTTAAATCTGGATCGCGGATCACAATACCGTCAATAAATATGGAACGTGTAGCACTTTCAAAACGCGATCCATACATTTCGTCAGTACATCTTTTACTCTCTTAATGCGAACATCGGCTCTGCCTTCGCTCTCGGGGCTTAAAATCTTTTAAAACAAATTGAAAAAATTTTTATTAACATTGGAAATTTTGAAATAATTGTGGAATACATTATCTGTAAATTATACGTTCAAAATAAAAATATTTTCTTGCGTCATAATAAGCGTTCAGCACAAAAATTATGCAAATACTGGCGAGATAAATATTGAACATGTAGGATTCGTGCGCTATCCATCAATCCATCAATATAGATCGCGATCCAAATATCGTGATAATTATTGACCGTGTGACAGAGCCCATATACAACTTGCGCATGCCGGATTTTTGCGAAACGNCAGACGTGGACGAGACAGAGCTTCGTCTGCCTCGGGAGACTCGAACCCCACAGCCCAACTTCGATCTGGCTACTGCAGCAGGCTGAACTCATACTTGAGCAGAATAAATGCAGATGTGCCAAATGAATTCCCAGCATTCGGAGAGAGGCCCCATGACTCGCAGCAACTCTGCGCATGCCCACTAAACCCCACCCTGCTAACGCCTCTGGCCTTATGGACAGACCCCATCAAGGCTGCACGCTTCCTGGGTCTACCGCTAGTAGAGCTTGACGACAGCGATACAACAACAACAGGAAACATGCGTTGGCATTAGCTGAGGGAAAAGACGACATTTCAGAGTTCTTAAAAATTCAACTTCAAAAGACGTACTGCGCAATAAAATTGATTTTAAAGAACAAAAAACTCAATCTGGATATAGTGAACAATCTGCTTTTTATGAACTGGTCTTGCATTAATTAGTTCACTCGACCCAGATAGCACTGTACATACAAATTACAGCTACGTCGGATTCAGGCATACCAACATTACGAATTTCGAAGATGGTCTCCGAATTTCGAAATTACGATACGGCAACGCGGATTACAGCATACCAATTTTAAGATTCGTAGCAAAATCGAATCTACGACGGATTACAGCATAGGGGTGATAGATTTGAATCTAAAGAGAATTGAGGAATTAAATTCAGTCTATACTTACATACATGGTTGCCACTTCATCAAAATTTTTCTACCATAATATACAAGTAAAAAGGTCCAAAATAAAACAAAATGTACCATTTTTCCCGTCCAAAAATATATGCAGTGACTCAAATAAAGGACCACGTGTTGATGTTTTTTTTTTAATAATCGTAACGCTTTTCGAATTTTTTTTTTATTTTTTTGTTATTTTTCTATAAAAATACCGTTCATGCCTTTACCGAAACCAAATAAGCAGCTTCAAACTTCATACAAAATTTAGGAAAATTCGATAAATTTTCATCAAAAGCGCAATTTTCAATCTGAATTTTAGAACATTTTTGGGTGTGCAGTTTTATAGCCCATACAATATTAGCTTAGGCAAAGGCAAGCTTCACCGGCTTAAAAAGCCCATTGATTTTTGAGAATTTTTGTACGTTT